GGGTGTTACTACTCTCCCCCCCTTAAATAAATTTGGTCCCCCAAATTTGCCTCTTACTCTTGGTCGAACAAATGGGGATACTGGGCTTTAAATTCTGATTCCAGTTCCCAAGTAGCCTCCCTGGGTGTGCGGAGTATTCTGCTCTCTCGGTCCGTGATACCGACCGGTACTTCTTCATAAGACAAGTCCTCTTGGAGTGGAAGCGGTTCATGAGCCAAGACATGAGAAGGGTCCGGGTTGTACTTAAGTAGCATAGATACGTGGAACACGTTGTGAACTCGGGAGAGCTCGGGAGGCAGTGCTAGTCTGTAAGCAGCGGTACCAATCTTGTCTAAGATTTCAAAGGGTCCAATATATCAGGGGTTTAATTTTCCCCTCCTGCCGAACCTACTAATTCCCTTGAAAGGAGTGACCTTAAGAAACACACGGTCGCTTTTCTCAAACGCTAGGTCTCTCCTCTGGATATCTGCATAACTCTTCTGCCTACTCTGAGTTGTCTGAATGTTCTTCTTGATTTTAACTATCTTGGACGTGGTCTCCTCTACCAACTCCAGGCCGAACAATCTTCTATCGCCCACTTCCTCCCAACAAATCGGTGACCTGCACGGGCGCCCATATAGTGCCTCATATGGAGCCATGCCGATACTTGCTTGGTAGCTGTTGTTGTAGGTAAACTCTATCAGGGGTAGATGGTCGTCCCAATGGCCCCCGGAGTCAAGGACACAAGCTCGGAGCATATCCTCAAGCGTACGAATTGTCCTCTCGATTGTCCATCAGTCTGGGGGTGGAAGACAGTACTAAGAGACAGCTTTGTTCCCACAGCTTGCTGGAAGCTACTCCAAAACCGAGAGGTGAACCTGGGATCCCTGTCGGACACTACTGTTACTGGAACCCCATGCAATCTGACTATCTCCCAGATATACATCCTTGCCAACTTGTCCAATGAATCGGTCATTCTGATGGCTAAGAAGTGGGAAGACTTGGTAAGTCGGTCAACGATTACCCATATGGCATCGTGTCCTGAACGCGCCTTGGGTACGATACGTAGTCCATGGTGATATGTTCCCACTTCCATTCCGGGATCGGTAAAGGCTGAAGTAACCCACCTAGGCGCTGATGCTCTGCCTTGACCTGCTGACATACCAAACATTTAGATACAAAGTCGGCTATGTCTTTCTTCATCCCATGTCACCAAAACCGGGGTCGCATGCTTTGGTACATTTTGGTGCTTCCTAGATGCATGGCAAACTTCGAGCCATGGGACTCTGTCATGATGTCCCTTTTTAACTCACTGTCATCTGGGACACACACCCTGTCTTGGAAATGAAGTAGTCCATTGGCAGATATTCAGAATTCTGAGCTCCCTCCCTGTTCTGCATCCT